GTTCATTACACAACTACTACTAACGAATCTAAAACAACTAAGTTTCTCTAATATTTTGTGATTTGCATTTGATTTCGTCCAGCCAGATCCTGGCGGACAATCCATGACGGGGAAGGGACTTCGACTACTACTGAGGGCTCGTGCTAAAAGGCACCGCGCCGACTGTGCGCGGGCAAGATGCGAGGAGGAGGAATGAATGATATACCGTGTGTATATATGTATATTTATGTTCATTTTGTACATTTCTAAAAATAAAGTTTAATGGAAATACTTAGTAGGCCTATCCTTTCTTCCCTGAATTCATATATAGCAAACCATGATTTGATTTCTCATCAAACAGTAGTAGTTTATAACGGGTAAAAATAACTTACTCTTTGTTATGAGAGTAGCTCGTAGGCCACAACGGAAAGACAAGGAGACAAAGACAAAGGCCCTGGGGCCGTCACACTCCTCTATAACAACAGTTAAAAATATATATGTATATAAAATATACCGCTGTACCGACGCCATGATAAGACTGATGTTACGCTGAGAGCAGCCGGGAAAAGCACTGACATGGGCGCAGCCTCTCTGGTGGTTGACTAATCAGAACGAGTGGCCGAGCTGACCAATCGGAGCACACTAGGCTCACAGGGAGGGGGGGGCAAGAGCTCCAACGAGTCGTTTAGTGGAGAAAGTGAATACTGCTGAATACACATGCTTGACAGAGATGCTGTATGCGAAACCAATGTGAGTTTGGAAAATTGCACAGTATAAATCTATTTTAGTATACCTCAACAATGTAATTATGATCAGTGGAAATGGCCATGACATGGGCCCTTTAAGATATTTAAATTATTTAAAAATCAATTAAAAATATGTTATTATTCTTTAGTATTTAGACTTTTGAAATAAATGAATACTTTTTTTTATTTACTTTAATGGTTTTTATTCATTATTTTGAAACCAAGACACCCTCAACTGAAAAACGGACATAGCAAAAACTGACAATTTAAGAACATCATGACACATTTCAAGCTAAATAAAGCATAGGATGCACATAATGTTTGTGTGATATTATAACATGCTTTCCAATAATAGGCAAAATATGATATTTTTGAAGAAAATAGTTAGAATAATTATAATTATCATCAATGGACATCAATGGACATGGAATGTACCCTAAATTGTAGAATCACTCGCATACTGGGATTATCTCCAGCAGGATAACTAGAAAAGCTGAAGGAGGGAGGGTATTTCTTATCAAACACAAGCTGTGAAAATAAAAACATTCCTCATTAGGTGAAGATAACCTTAAATAACTTAAAATACTCACTAAGGGCTTCTTTGGAAGGTTGTCAGGGTTAACAGGAACTAGGCAAGTATGTAGTGTCAAGCTGTACGCTTCTCTAGGTTTATAATATAACAAAATATCTTTATATATGTTTTACCTGATGAGGAAGAAGAAGACGAAGACGACGACGACGACGACGAAGAAGAAGAAGAAGAAGAAGAAGAAGATGAGGCAGCTTTAAGCTTCTATGCACCATAAACCTGGAACAAACTGCTTGAAAATGAGTTCTTATAAATCAAGGTTAAAAACCTTTCTTTGTAATGCTGCCTATCCACAGATGCTCCAATTGGGCCTTATCATCAGCACTTTCTGCTGCGATCACTCTTTTATGAATTGTATTTTTGTTTTTAATTATTGTTAATGCCTATTTAAAGCAATTTGAATTGCCTTTGAGTCTGACAATGTGCTATATAAATAAACCAACCTTAACAAAGCTGTTGTTTTAAATAAAAACACAATTTCATGAAATCAAATGCAGAGGATATATCAATATGCTACAAGCATGCATTGAAGTTCTCCCAGTATAGAAAACATAGTTTAGTAAATTGTGACCTCTGGTGGGTATTGAGAGGAATGTGCACACTGGGCAGAAGTACAACAACAGCAAAACGTACCAAAGGCACCAAAAAGTATTTAGATTAAAATAATTATTCCTTCACTTAATGTATGTTACATATCACAGTATTATTTGTATTGTTTTTGTTATGATTAGGGGTTTAAATTAGATTTTATAGCTGTATGTGGTAAAGGTGCTGATTTAAACCATTATACACATACACACACATAATTTGAAAAACAACCACACTAAATACATAAAAGATAAACAAAACGCCTAAATATAAAAGAAAATATTGAGACTCAAAATGAAACAAAAAGAAAACAAAGAGACACTACAAAATGAGTCGAACATAAGAAACAACCTGCAATACCAACTCAATTACCTGGAGACTTAGCACGAGTACAAAAGAGATGTAAATGACTACAAAGAGACTCAAAATGAGCATAAAGAGAACAAATAGGTTTAACAATTATTTGAAGATTAATGCAGGAATTGTGTGGCTAATACATCTAATAATACAAACAACACAGGGGGAAAAACTACAAGAACAAACCAATCACAAAGAGACTTTAAGGTACTACAATACACCGAGAATAAAACAATGACAACAGAGACACTCAAAATGACTACACATAGCCTACATTTAAAAACAAAAAGGGGCTACAACTATTGTTGAAGATTAATGCACGAATAGTCTTGGCAATGATAGCTTGCCTCTACCTTTCTCGTGCATCTCCAAGCGTTCAATCCTAGTGTTATCGGTACCTGGCATTTCGTTTGACAGGCAGTATTTAACACAGCTTGATAGCGCACTAAACTTACCTCAACAAGTCGGCTCCTTATCCTGCGGTTGAAAGGCGTTGCAGAGTTTGTGAAATAGGTTTGTCTCACACCTGAATGAACATCCCGCGCGGTATTTAAATTGTGCCCGGATGTGTCAATTGGTTGGTGAAAGTCTAGCAGAATTGAGGAAGTGGCTGATCATATCAGTGTCCTTACACTTCTTTTTTTCATACACTTGTTAGTCCACCTGGTGAGTTTAGACTCAAGTTACACAATGTGTTGTGAACTCATAATTGTGTGAGAAATTAGAATACCCTGCTACATTCATTAAATTAGTGTAACTAAGTCACTTAATGAAGTCAAGTAACATTCGTAAACAACGAAAAGAAGAATGAATACATTTGTTTTAAACTCATAACATACTGACGTTGAACAGTTCCATCGTGTTGTTGAGGCATTATAACATGAACAGACAAGTGGATTATTTTAATAATCATTAAACTTATAAAAATGAGAGGGCTCGTCCGGGATTTGAACCCGGGACCTCTCGCACCCTAAGCGAGAATCATACCCCTAGACCAACGAACCGCGTGAACCTTGGCGAACATATAGAAAGTTCTATATATGAAAATACCACTAACTTCTCTCCTGTTTGATTAAGTAAGATATTTTTATTGTAGGCAGAACAGAAATGTTATGTATGCCCCACAAACATTTATACTTTTATTTCCATTTGAAGTGACTGCAGTATCATGGCGACCCATGTCTTTGAATAAGCGAATCAACATTCGAAAGTAACTGCAACAGAAATAAATGGGCACTTAAACGTAAAAACATCGTTGCAACAATTGAAATAATAGGTTTGTTATCTGTGTAGCTTACCCTACCTAAGCTAAGGTCGACTCGCAAGCAGTGATTGTCGGAAATCTTTAGTTACCGATGGGACCGTCACCTACCAACCGGCAGAGGTCGACAAACGTTGAAAAGAGGAAACATAGATCCAAAGAGGCGAGAGGTCTCACTCCATCCAGAAATGTGTCTGTCACTGTTTCAGTCATTTTTTATATATATTTATAATAGCCATATCCAAGGGTGGACAGACACACATAACATAGATGTCAAGTGTAAAGAATAGATAATACAATTAATTAACAATATTCAATAGTAAATCCATAAGATGAAACGATACAAATAATGTGAACGTGGGCTTTATACAAAATGAACTAGATTAATGTATTTTATTTCTTTGCTATTGTTATTTAATTGTATTTTGTTTAAGGTCTGTAACTATTGTCTACTTGCTATTCATTTCCTAATCCTCTTATTTCTTTATTTTTGATATTTGTAATTGATACCGCCTTGTCAAAGTAAAACATTTTAGCTAAATGAAGGTTACATTAAAAAAAAAAAAAGTTCTTTACGTTCTTTACACTTTCTGTATTGGGATTGCTTTTTGTTATTATTAGTGTAGTTGTCTCAGTAAGTAAGAACATTGTCCTGGCTTCATATCTAATTATTTTAATCCACGGGAACACACATCAGCCACCATGGATTAAGCACACTGATTGTTGAAGTTGATCACTTTGGCCTGTGCATTAACTGATCCATTGACAATGTGTGCCATCTGATAAATGTGAAGCACAGGGAATAGGAAAGCAGGTCACTGATATCATGCATATCAACCTACTGCTCACTTACAAAGCCCTACATAACCTGGCACCCCCTTATCTGGCTGACCTTCTTCAGGAGTACACCCCCTCTCGCTCCCTCCGCTCCTCCTCTGCTGGTCTGCTAACCGTCCCCACCACACGCCTCGTCACCATGGGTGCTCGGGCTTTTACCTGCACTGCTCCCAGACTCTGGAACTCCCTCCCCCCGCACATCCGACAGTCAGACACAATCACCATATTCAAATCCCAATTAAAAACCCACCTGTTCAAAACTGCCCTGTAGTGCTCCCCATTATATGTTTCATTTGTGTCAACTTGATTGTCTCCTCCATGATTTCCTGTTTGTGTTTTTATCATGTTCTGTTGCCTATTAGCGTTTTCTTTTTTTTAACAAATTGTACGGTGTCCTTGGGTGTCATGAAAGGCACCTAAAAATAAAATGTATTATTATTATTATTAATGTCAGTCATGAACGTTCCTAAATACTGTTTCATACATTAGCTGTGTGTGTGTGTGTGTGTGTGTGTGTGTGTGTGTGTGTGTGTGTGTGTGTGTGTGAGATTTTGCGTTTGTATAAAAAGGTGAGAAGTGTGTGTGTGAGCATTACATTATTCTTGAAACATCAAGTAAAAACTGCTTTTAAGGATGCAAAGAATACATATTTTTATTATCAAGAAGCTGCACACACTCAATAAATAAAAAGTTCAATAAGAAGACAACAAAGTAATATTAAAATAATGCAAAACATCTGCTTTGCCATTTTACTTTAGCATCTACCAAAACTTGTAAAAATGGTCAAAACCCAGTTTTACATTTTTTGATAAGCCTATATATCAATTAAAAATGTGTATGTCGACCATAGCCATGAGACCCATTGCGGTTGGTTAGGTGACAGGATGTGTATTGCCGAAGTCAATGGTTGCCATATGAATGTTAAAGAAGGATGTAGGATGACGGCCCCAAAGGCTCTCAGTCAGACGTGTGTATGTTTCTAGCAGATGGCAGCCTCAGTTCAGACACCCATAGCAGGAAGGGTTGACACATATCTCACAAGGATCTGAAGACACCATGATAGAGGCTGGAAAGTGCAAGAAACAGAAAGAAAAACATAAATATTAGTCTGACTGGAAATGAAAAAGTGAACGTTTTTTTCCCCCCACCCAAGTACCAGGTTTTCACTTTCATGTAATGCTGTAATTTTGAAAATGAGATCCGTTTCTGTATCTGTCTCAATACACCCACAAGGTTGTTAGCTTTGTCTATTGAGCTTTAATGGCCCCAAAAGAGTATTTGAACAGCCATTCATAGGCCTCTTGTCTGGCATTATCATTCCAGAGCCTCTTTATGGTGCAGCAATTGCAGGATGTGCACAATACAAAGTGTAAACAGGGAACTCGAGGAATCCATTTGAGCAAACTGAAGCCTGCGCCTGATGTTAGTGTGGTTTAATTCAAGTCAGGAGCAAGGACATTTCTGAGTGATAAAACAGCGTCTCTAAGAGCCTGTGAGATTGTTTCCTGTATGAATGTACCAAAATCCAAATGTTACAATTGTTCTCACTGAGCAATTCTGTGGGTGGTAAAGCAGGTCCTTTTATCAGGAATAGTGTAAATTGTTGTTTTCTTGCTGAAAGTATGTCTCACTTTCATGTCTGAATGAATTGTTGTACAGAAAAAAACAAATGAGATGTAACTCATTGATTTACAAACTGGGCAGCCAGGCTAAGTTTTCAGTGCTACGCTAGGCTAACCAGCTAACACAGCTCCTTCATCAGGGAAGTGTTTGGTTGTGTTAAGCATATCTCTTTGAAAGACAAAACACAAAAGAGCTTGTTCCTCTCTGCCATACAGCTCCATTTTCGTGCAAAAAACTATTCAAAACACATTTATGAGTGAATCGATATGTTGCTTCACTATAATGGACATGGCTAATTCGATGTGCTGGTTTCGTCAATATTAATATTTGCACCGAATGTGTATTAATTCACGACTGAAATGAGGCCCCAAAAATGCCTTTTTGTCTAGTTCAATTAAGAATAGTTTTTTTAACAATTATATTATTTTTTGCAAAGTCTTACCTAGTTTGGAGAAAATTATGCCTGTCCCCTTCCCTTGGCAAACTGGCCGAAAGACTTGAGGCAGGACAGGATTAGCACAAGCAGCTACCACGCTCGTCTCAGAGACGCGAGGGCTAACGTTGTCATCTAAATCCATCAGTTCCTTCAGCTGCTTCACTGCCTCCAAGGGGAAGATCCTGTCTCCAACCTAGGGGAGGACAAGAAAAACTGTGAGGCACAAAATAAATCATGCAGAACTTCCAAAAGAAAGGGGATGAGAAAGAGACATTTAGATGTATTGGTGTCAATAACTACCATTCAGATGCATTCAGAAAATACTGAAAAATAGAAGCAGCATGAGTGATAAGATGACGAAGGTCAAAGTATTTCCAAGAACAAGTCATACTCACTTTAACCTTCACACCCAGAGCTCCACTGCACCCACACAGCACCAAAACAAGGACGACACTGAGCACTCTCATTTTCAGATGATGCAAGATGCTTCTCAGTTCAGAGGAGAGATTCTTCTGTGTCTCTGGATGTCTGCTCGGCCTCTTATAGGGAGTCTGGACAGGTCAGTGAGGGATTTATTGGCTAAGAGTGAAAGTAGGGGGGAAACTCCGTGGCTAAAAGATAACCAAAGGTATTGCCCACTGTTAGCGTTCTGGATCCTCTTTTGTTAGTTTATAACCATAATCCTTTAGATATTTTATAACCTCTATCTCTGTTGTTTCCTCCGTCAGTGCTATACTTGATTATTTACTTTGGGTTTCATTCTTATGCCTCAGATGCCTCAGTGCCACCCCATAAATCTCCCCCATGTCTCTCTCCCACAGGTGTTCGCCACAGAGCCGTCTGATAAGAGAGAGGCCACACGAACAGAGCTGACCAAATAGGTCACTTGTTTGCAAAGCTGTGATAGTATGACTCTTTGCTGATGCAAATGGCAACTTTTTTGTTTGGTTACACAGTCAGAAAAAGGCATTTTAATGCACCATAAACTGTCAAGTATCACTTATGTGTAGTTTCACGTCATGGGAAGCTTTATCCCAAAGTTTGACAACAGATAAGAGTCAAATGTGTGACGTCAGTGTCAGTCAAAGTCTGGAGCTGCTCCATCAACAATGAATTGTAACTGACTGTGTGAACTGATTGTTGAGTCACATCAAGGTCAGAACATATTATGTGTGAATAATGTTGTGTTGCTGTTCTAATATTTTAATTCAACTTTTTATATTTTATTGTATTTCCTTTTTATCACCACTGTAAAGTGTCTTTGAGCACCTGAAAAAGCGCTTAGAAATCAAATGTATTATTATTATTATTATTATTATTCAAATCACTCATGAAATCAAGGTTTTCTTATTATTTCATATTTTGAAAGCTCAGACTTTGCTGGATCTGTACACAATATCTTTAACTTTAAAAGACAGTTGTTGCCTGGGAGTCGAGCATCACAGTATTATGATAACAATTTTCACTTAATGTCCCTCACACACACAAAGACAAACATACAACATATATTAATGAAAACATTAAATAACTGCAGAACTGACTTTTGGAAAATCCACAAAGCGAATATTTTGATTTTCATTGTACACATATCATACAACTATTACGTTTTGTGATGGTCCACTGGACATTACAGTGATGAAATATGTTTTAAAACCCACCAAGGGTTGTAGTGAGACTTGAAAGTAGGAAAGAAAAGTGTTGCAAACTCTTGCTTCTTATGCATTTATCTTTTACTCGGATTAAGTTTGTACACCTCAGGTGTTTTTCGAGATTTATGGTTGTTGATCTTTGGGTTTAAAATTGGATTTTAAAAGAAAAGTCTGTTATTGGTTACCCCAGACATATAGTGAGTATGCCTTGAAATTACTAAGCTTTATTGGAAAACAGAGAGAAAATATTATCATGGGAAATAAAACGGAGAATAGGAACTAGGCACGCAAATTAGTGTTATTTGAGAAATATGAAAACATTCATCAAAGTTTCCTTTTCAAAAATAAGCATTAAAAGCAGGAAAGGATGTTATATTTGATCACAATGGGTTTGGTTTATTTCATTTTTATACAACAATGTAACCTTATGTTTACAGGGAATGTTGACAAAGCATGCACTTTTACCGCAACCCCCTTTTAATAGTTAAATATAACTGGAAAACATCGGGTCAGTTAATAAAACACAAAAATGTACAGGTACAGGCTCAGTGCTCGAGGACCAGTCACTCATGGGTAATAAGGGCCAAAGCATAGGGATGAATTATATTGTAATTTGCCCACAAGGGCCCTGAACATCAAAACTGTCGCTCTGACAGAGGAGGCCAACGAACATTACCGTACAAAAATGGGTTTTGAGTGTTGTAATTATCACTCGATATAGAACCACGAAAAACATAATGAGGTTGGAGTGAATCTGGGGGAGCATAATTGACAAGATGACATCTTAATAATAGCTAAGAGAAAAACAAATCTCCTCCTAGTTCAACGAAGCTGTTTCTTATTTTTTGCAATGTCTTGTGATGTCTATGGACTCTGTGGGAGAGGGGTTTGTTGATGCCATGTACCACCAATATGTCACTATTTTATATGAAAAATGCATTACAAAAGATATATATATATATAATATATCATATTAATAATAATAATTTGAATATTGAATTGAGTTTACAGAAAAGAGCACAACGTACACATGATTTATGAATGCAAGCCTTTTATTTAAAACAATGTTAAGAAACAAGAAAAATAGGAACTTTTAAATATGTGTACAGTACAAAGCTTGGTAAGATAGAAATGTAACAAACAAATTCCAAAAATAAAAGGCATGATGGAAATGAAAAATAATGTAAATAAGCTACAGTAACAGTCCACAACAACAACATACCTTGTTTGATTTCTTTCTTTTTGGGGGCTTAGTTTGTCTATTAAGTGCCAAAAGACCGGAGACAGAGCCTCTGCGGTCAGGGAACATAATGTCACTGTCTCATCAGGTAAATCTTTTTTATTCTCTGAAGTACTATAGTTGTGAGGGGGAGGAAAAAAATCACAAGTATTAAGCTGGGCAAAGTGTTTGTTGCTTGTTTAGCAGCCGGTGCAGGCAGCAAAAGCGCAGATCTCACAGACGTCCCTGGGAACCATAGCTGAAATAAAGACAAAAAATTGTAAGACACACTGTTTTTATCACCTGGACCTCCATATTCATGACTTGGCATACTTAATATTCCACTCAAAGGCTGGCTGTTATAATATAGTGGTCTCACCTAGTCTGGACAGGGATGCAGATGCTCCTCTCAGCCTACAGAGGGGCAGGAACTCCTGGGGGAGCATGGGGTCGGCACACAGGGACCCGGTGCTCGCCCTGAGTCGAGGGCTCTGTTGTCCTGCTCCGCTGCTCTCTGTCAGCTCCTGGAGCCTCATGACGGCTTCCAGAGAGAAAGACAATCCATTCTCCTGAAAAGAAAGACACATCATTGGTGTTAAAGAACTGCATCTTACCAGTTAACTGATGTAGGATTAGTTCAAATAATGTGTCAAAACAAGTTTGTAATCTAAAAGAGTACAGGGTGCAGGTTTTGGGTAAGCTGCATGAACAAAGCTATTGTCCAGGATCAGTGAGTACTACAAAATGATGAATAATGCACTTACTTCAACCCGCACAGCCTCAGAGGTCCAGCTGAAAGCCAGGACGAGGACAGCGATGGTGGCGAGTATGGCCTTCATGGTGACAGCGATTTGTCTTGAAGAGTCTTTGTCTCTTGTGGTTGGTGTGCTCAGCAGGTGCTTAGCTCAGTGAGTGCTTTCCTTCCATCCACAAGCCTCCTTTAAACAGTTCTGCCCTGCAGCTCTGCAGTCATGTGACCACAGGTGCAAAGTTTTTCTCACGGGTTAATCAGTAGTGAAGGGGTTGTAAAGGGGAATTCATAAATCCTTCTTTTGCCTCATCACCTGTCTGATCATTTTATGGATCCCTGGCTCTGCTGGCAGCTCTGTCTCGTAGATTGATCACACCTCGGGTCGGTTAAACAGTTACCTTTCGCTCCATTGATGACGGTGAGAGCCTCACCTGCCCTAGAAAGCCCTGTTACTCACCTCTGAGCAAATGGTTGAACTTTGTTTTACAAGCTGACATGTCTGACAGAACTGGAACCTATCATGTTTAAAAGAAAGTGTTTTTATTTATTTATTTGGAAACGTGTTATTTTTAAACAGAAAAAAACCTTATAGAAAAATATATATTTGTCAAATATTTAAGTTCTGTATTTGCCTGATTGAAGGACACAAAGGCAATTGCATAGTATTAGACTAAAACAATTAGTTTAATATTTGAACAAATATAATTTCTTCAATGCTTTCATTACCACAGCATCTGGCTCTATATCGGACAGGGCTACTATGTTAAATTGTTTTAATGAGTATTTTGTGTCCTGTGGCTCTCTGTTTGATTATGTTACTAACTCTGCTTCTGTGAACACCACAGTCTGTGACTCTGAAAAACGTGGTTTGGAAAACCCTTTCAGTTTTTCTCCTTTTACTATTGACATTGTTCATGAAGCCTTAACCAAGTTAGATCCTAAGAAACCGGCTGGCCCGGACAACGTAGAACCTTTCTTTTTAAAGATACCTGCAGATTTTCTTTTTACCCTCAGCACAAACACAATGCCAAAAATATGGAAGTCAGCTTATGTCCTTCCTCTACTAAAAGGTGGGGAGGCTACTTTATTAAGTAATTATAGGCCCATCTCTAAATGGTCAGTTCTGGCCAAGGTTCTTGAACGCCTAGTGAGTGAGCAGGTAAAGGAGTTTTTATGTAAAAATGACATCCTGTCTAAACATCAGTCAGGTTTCAGAAAGCAATATAGCACCATCACTGCGACAATGAAAGTGGTGAATGATATTGCGGGTATCTTAGACAAAAAGCAGAGTTGTGCAGCTCTATTTATTGACCTTTCCAAAGCGTTTGATACCGTCGATCATCATATCTTGAAGCAGAGGCTACTCAGTATTGGCATATCCAGCCATGCAGTGGGGTGGTTTGTGAACTACCTCTCTGAAAGGTCCCAATGTGTTCAGTTTGATGGACTCACCTCTGAGTGGTTAAACATTACTAATGTTTTAGGTCCACTTTTATTCTCCATATATATCAACAGTTTAGGTGAAAATGTGGATGAAGCTACTTTACATTGTTATGCGGACGATACTGTGATGTATTGTGCAGGTCCCTCGATTAAGGAGGCTGGCGTTAAATTACAGGCTGTTTTTAATATTATTCAGACTCAGCTCTCCTTTAAATGTTGATAAAACCAAGGTAATGCTATTTTCAAAAGCCAAAAAGACCCCAGAGACAGCTTTGGATATTGTTACTGCGCAAGGAAAAGTACTTGAAGTGGGTTCCTGTTATAAATACCTTGGTATCTGGCTTGATGATTGCCTCTCTTTTAAACCTCAGGTCAATAATCTGCTTAGAAAGCTGAGGGTTAGACTAGGTTTCTTTTTCAGAAACAAGTCCTGTTTCTCTTTTGAAGCCAGGAAAAGTCTCTGTGACCTTTTTACCTGTGCTAGACTATGGTGATCTGCTCTATATGAATGCACCTGCCCATTACCTGA